GATGTTCTATATCTGTTCCCCTGTGTACTTATTCCATAGTGCAAAATGGAGCATACTTAAAGCAGGTAGGTCTGCTGCATGCAGTCAATACAGTTTGTACTTGAAAAACTGAGATAGCAAAATAATAGTGACATTAATTTTCTGGAGGCTGCTTGAAATTACTTTTCTGGTGTTTTTGTTATAAACGTAAATTGTTGTGTTTTACTTGTGATAGATGAAGTGTCTTCTCTCTATTTTAAGTAGGGAAGCATATATGTTGTTAAGTGAACTCATGTATAGATGTTATCAACATTAATATAGTGAGAATGGTTACCAGAGTTTGTTTTGTACTCGCATGGTAAAAATAGCGATAATCCATGTTAAATAGAAACTTATATAAAACAATAATTACGTTTGTTGTATACTAAATCATAGAAACACCACACAATCATGCCATCACACTTTCAGGAAAAAAAGTCTTGGAGTTATGAATATAATAAAAGTTATGATTAAACACAAAAAACTTGTAAATATTATGTGTGGAAAGTCTGAGAAAACAATAGTGTTAATGTAACTCTAAAAGCTGTTGTGTAATCTTTAAATACTGTACACTCTAAATGTGCAGAGCTGTTTTTATTATATTTTTAAAATTACCCGAAAATTGCTTCTCATAGTGAACTTATTTACATGTTGTTGTACATGATTTTTCTAGTTTTTTTTTTGAAAATTGAGATTATTTGAGGCCCATGTATTATATCAGGAGATACTTGTATGTAATTTGGTGACAACATTTTGCAAAATTGAGTGTACTTTAAATGAACTTGAACTTTGAAGATTATTTAATATTTAAAAATAACTAGAAATGAACACTTAAAGTTGACTATTAAAACCTTGCTGGGACTAAAAATTAATTAGCAACTGAACTTGTTGTTAGCAGTGTTGTTACCTTTTCTTTAAAAAAAAAAACTTCTACATGCACACAGATGATGAAATTAGCCAAGTTTAGGTTATTATACGATGTATAATGTAAGAAAATGGATGAAAGGAATGGTCAATTGCAAATCATTCACACAAATATAATTTAAATAATGGTAACTGAGCTATCATGCAGAATGTATGATTAAAATCAAAGCAGTAACCCTCAGGAAATAATCGATAATCTCAATATGTAATTCTCCTCTGCTTATCCAAAACCCTTTTCCGGATCAAGTGACGGGTCAAGCCTATTGAACTATGACCTATGACATTATATAGATACGAGCAATAAATCTTTACATTGCAGCATGTTGTACATAGAGTATGCCATCATATTCAATTGTCAGTTATGCTGGTCAATTTGGGTCACCTGTTTTGTGTCTAACTTGTTTTTTCTATCTACTTACAGACATCATGGAATGAACTAGGCACACCTGCACTGATTACACTAAAACTAGTGCTGTAACTATGGACTACAAATGAACCATTCTTTGAACTATGTGTTATTTTTTTACTATTGATAAAATGTATCTCCAATTTATGGGTTATCCTTGGGGAAACCACACCGATTAGAAGCATGGTTGGATTACAGGCTAAGAGGATGAGAACTTCATCAGGATAATCCTGAGACATGTTGCTAAACAACAAGATGTGTATGTAAATGAGGACCCATTGCTGGGATGAAAATAAAGAAGTCATAACCACTATTTGTAGAGCTACAGTTTCCTGATTTCTTGCTAGACTAGAATCATTATTTGAACAATTTGCAAGAACCATATTTTCTAGTATCAGGACTGCATATTGCCACTGGTCTGGTGTTTTTTCTTTGTATATAAGTGATATACCCAACTTTGCAGTGTAAACTAGTTGGTAAACCATATATATACACATCAAGATATCCGCCCCAACTAAAGCCTAGAGTGAAACCTGGTTTAACCTTGTGAAATTTTCTTCATAAGGTGTCCGGAGTTGCTGTGAAATTGAGCTCTCTGGGAAACATTTCCTCAATTTCAAGCATTCAAATACATCAGAAGGTGTGCCAAATTTATTGAGGGAAAATGCTGCCTTAGACAGTATGATAAGTTTTCTAATGATTAGCATGGCTATTAGGTTCTGCCTTGTATTGTTAAAACACATTCAAGTTATTTGCTTTTAGTATGATCTCATCTTGTCCCAAAATTGTATTTATTATCTACTGGATACACCTTTAGACACACCTTTGTTATTTATGTAAACCTGCATATGCTGCCATCGATAATAAAGCAAATATAGTACTTTGCCACAGTTCTTATAACAGCTGGTCTGGTCCACTTACAATTATGCAAGATATTGAATATTGAGACAGGGTCAGTCCATGAGGACCTCTACATGTAGAAATTACGATGGCTATACAGATAAGTATTTGGCTTGTCTAGGCATTTTTTTTTCACATACATGTACTCTCAAATTTTGAAGCTGCATTTGTTGAGGGGTCCGACTCCTATTAATGCCAACACTAAATTACTCCTGTGCACTGCAATAGTCTTTATCCTATTGCTGCAGTTGCATGTCTGTCTTTTTTTTACTTGTGTTTATGATTATATGACAGAACCTAATGCCATAGTGTGTAGTGAAAAGTACTGCATATATCGATACTGGTTGACAAATGGCTGTCACGATTGATGGTTTCAAAGAAACTCCCTCCTTTGATATTTAACTTTGATGTAGATTCAAATATGGTAACTTTTTGTGTTGAGATACATATGGTAAACAGCATTATTTACGTTTTATCTTTGATAGAGTTCATATTAGTGTTTTGTGTACTACCAGTGAACAATTTAACCTTAAACAAGTTGTTCAAGAATTGTAAATACTGGGTTGAAGGTAGTACATGGATTTTTTTTATAAATTGCTCACAATTTTTAATCTAGTATCATGTAAAAATGAGGTAATTTTATTAATTTTTAATCCTTAATCTGTATTGTACATTTGTAAGTTACTGTTTTTGTAGAAATGTTTTCTTTTTGCAATTGTATAATGGTTTTTCATATTGTCTAAATATACCCAGAGTTCA